AACCGAGATTTTCGGTTCGGTTTCGGTTAGCGAGTTCGAATATTTGCTCGGTTCGGTTCGGTTAGCAAATACCTCAAAAAGTTCGGTTAACCGAACCGTGCCCACCCCTACGCTGTGGGTGTAGTGCCCACATCTGAAGCTCGTTCAGTTTCAGTGGTTTCTTGTGTCATTTTACTGTTTTCTGATGGCTACCCGTGTCCGTTTCTCAGTTGTGTAGAAACTAGAAAAGGAAATCGGAAGATATTTTTTGTTTTACCATCTCTGCAATTCGTACATGCATGGGTGGATTTATATAGCTCATGCACAGAGCAAACGGGGTTGTCTTACAAAGTATTAAGAAGACAATCAAAACAACGCCATATCAAACTAAGAATAAGAAAAAAGTGCTACCTAATTATTTAAGTGAGACACGCCTTAGCCCAAAGAGATTTAAAACTTTGTTATAACCGCAACTGAAGGAACAAAACATCATGAGAAAACCAGCAGAAGTTAACTATTTCTACACCCCTTCCTCAAGTTGGAGTTTGGTTAAGCTCGCAAACACTCAACTTGAACAAAAGCGCTTGAAACCAGTAGATGGCATGAGTTTTGTGAAGAAATCAACAAGCTGAGCTGATGAGTGAACATATGCAGGATGCACAAAACCTGCCTTGTACTTCTCACGCACTTTATGGCTGTCGATCTCCAAATGTTTTGTTTTGCCATGAAACACGGGGTTGCTTGCAATGTGCATATCTGCATTTTTTATCGCACTAGAGTGATTGGTAGAGGTGGAAGCACATCAAATTCCTTGGTCAGTGAGTGGATCCATTGTAAGTTTGTAACTCATACACGGTTGTTCCTATATCCCTATACTCGACTTCAGCTGAAGATCTTGCCACTGTTACTTGCTTTTTTCTTTTCCAAGAAATAAGGCTACTTCCAATAAAAACACACAATAACATGTGATAGAACTGCGTGTATCCTTGCAGGTTGCCCAATCTGCATCACAAAATGCACTCGAACTTATGTCTAATTTAGGGTTGCAGAAAAGACCAAGATTAGTTGTGCCCTTTAAGTACTTAAGCACTGATATAGTTGCATCCCAATGCTCACTGAAGGGGTTATTAACAAACGGTATCAACCGTTGAAGTGAATAGCTCACATACGATCTTGTCACATTATAATATAAAAGACTCCCTATCAGCTTCCTATATTTTTTAAGTTCTAATAAAGGATGTCCATCAAATCCAGTTAACCTGAGCCCTTGTGGTAATGGAGTTACTGATTCCTTGCAGTCAGTTATTCCCATATCTTGAAATAAATTAATAATGTACTTCCTTTGGCATAAATGAATTTCTGATGCACTCCTTGAAATTTCAACCCCAAGATATTAATTTTCAATTCCCAAGTCTTTGATAGCAAAAAGCTAATGAAGATAGTTCTTTAGAGAGGTTACCTGTTTTGAGTTAGATCCCATGATGAGGACATTATCCACGTAAACGAACATGGCAAGAAATTGTCCATCCTTGTGTTGTGTGAATAAGCAATGATCATGACTAAACAAGACCATACTCCTTCAATCTCATGGAGAGTTTACAATTCCATTCCCTATGTAAGA